GAATACCCCAGTGCCGCTACAACTGCACCGAGCAATGTCGCAAACATTGGAGCTGGTCCTCAGCAACTGCCAAAATTCTTCACCATGCTCCTACCTCTCAGCTGCAAATCATCCATCTTCTCCTCCGAGTCCATGTTCGATTTTGCTTCTCCTTTCGATGCCCTCTCTGCTTTAGGACCAGGGAAAAAGAAGCCGCAGCCACAGATTCCCAGCGCCATTTCCAGCTCAAACGCTGATGATTCCGGGTCACGGACCTCGGTCTCTACCGTCGATGTGAAATCCACCTGGAGACTCTAACTGGGGCCAAGCCTCCGTACGTCCAGCCTGCTCCGCAAACACGCGCACAGCTTGGCCCGTACAGTGACTATAGCTACCCGGAGCGGGCTCAGCGTACTCGCATTGTTGAGTCTCCTTCCAGCCAGCAGGGGCCACGGGACCAACAACGCGAACCGCAGAGATAATCCAGGCCCAGGCCAGGGTACAAGAGGACAAAGGGAAGAGCATCTGGAATGTCAACATAAACAGTCGTCTAAAGCGCATGATCATGATGAAAATTCGATCCTCTCTGACTCGGATATCTGTGCATGCACAAGGTGCGATATTCGATGCTGGTCGAAATGTCTCCTCGTGAATACGTCAACTGCATTCGAATCTCACTGGTTAGGACGAATCCAGTGTTCCTTCCTGCGATTCTAGCGTGGGCGATGACCAACGATAGGCAAAGTTCCTTTAATGTTGCTTAACGACCAATCAGGCCGCCTGCGTATCATCTCGACAGCAAGTGGAAGTCGTACCGAAAACATCTTCCATTTCTTCTCCAAAATGTGGCTGCCTTACTGATGATGGATTCCACCAGTCATTCCTCCCGGCTTCGAGACGGTATCAATTTATCTACCTCAGCTAGCGGTGCTTTCCGTGTGGACGTTTCACTCTCCCAGAGTCCCTCATTCAGTACGACCAAATGATTACAGAGCTGGAACGTCTGATTGTTAGTCTGAACAATGCACGAGATGATATACGGCATCTTTCTGACGGTAGGATCCTTCAATCCCTTGATTTATCCGAAGACTGCCTACAGATATATTGGACCAAGTTTTCACAAACGAGGACGGTTAAAATCCGAGTCTATAACTATTGCCCCAAGCAACGTCTTGCAATTCCCGCCTACCGGTGAAATCGCCCGGACAATGTCTGACAGTGACATACAGGATGGAGAAAAGTCTATCTTGACAAGATTTTGTCGTCTTGCGAATGTTCTTGCTTTATTTATGCACACTGTTTATTTTTTCTGTTCGTAATTGAGCGCTTGTGCATAAACCGCCTTGTGCTACTTTCAGAATAAAGCCTCAAAATACAACGCATCAAAAATACAATGCATCACATATCACAAGCTAGCTTCCTAATTCGACTTGAAAGGATCTTCGATACCTTGTACTTACTCGGTGTGGACTTTATAAAACCCCAGGTGAACTTTCGTTCAGCTCATTACCCGCTTGATTCAGATCCTCCGAATTTTAAGAACAACGCGCTAGGACGCTTCACGACTCATTCGCCAGACACTCTCTTCATCCTCTTTCCCATTCTCATCACCCCATATATTACTTTTCATATAACGATACCAGTGCAAAGCGCAAAAACACAATGATGTTCAATACCACCCAGATTATGACTGTTTTTGCTCTCTTCTTGTCTGTGGGCATTGGTGAGTGCCTTCAACGAGATTCGCATATCGATATGCTTCTGATGTCTGTTCACGCATACCTCTAGTAACCGCAACTCCTGTACCAGAACCTGCACCCATAGATCCTGGTTTACAGGATGTCGTTGCCGCTAAGAATGACATGGGTGGAACCGTACGTCGTGCTTTTCACTCGAATGAGAGATATTTTTGACCGACTTGACTGGCTATGTAGGATCTGGCCCAGACAAATGGAGCTCTACCCTCCTTGCAGATTAGCACGATTCTTGCGGTATCCCTCCCCGCGATAGCGGCAGGAGCTGCCTCTATGGTGTTATGATACTTTTAGAGGAGGATCTGGATTTCTGCGGGAACTTGTGGTGCGAAGAAGGAAGATAGATCAACCTGATATTCACACATTTAACAAAAAAAAATACAAATGTGTACATTGCGTTTCGTCGAATCGGAGAATACCACTCCACACCCTAGGTCGCCCAGAACAGAGATGAAGATTCGGATGACGGTCACTCAGTACATCTCCAGGACTCATGCCGTCGTGAATTTCGTAATCGGAAAGTGTTATATGGTCTTTATAGATTGTGTACCTGTATTTAGGGACGAGGTTGGAGAAATGACATTAGAGAATCGTTAAAGAGTCAACAGACAGCAGACGCACCATTTCTTCAGCTGAATCTTTGTATGATTGGTACCAGTTTGGGCTGCAATAAGTTTCTTGAGATCTCCAACAGTATCATCTGGGCTACATTTGACTCGGACTGTACACATCAAAGAGGTCAGAATTAGAAAATTAGAATATAACGATAGATATGGGAGCATATTACGCCTCACCTTTGCGTCCAAGACGATCGTTAGCTATGATCTGATGCGTGTTGTATAAGACAACTTTGAGCTTGGTATCTGCAAAACGTACATACCTCAATCAGAGCCATTTCGCTGGAAGATGAAGATGAGAGACGAACGAAGTAGCGCCAAGCGCCGGAGCCGCGTGGAAGATTTAGGCGCCAAGGCTCACACTGATACTTAGCTTCAAGCTCTCAGCCTGGAGCCAAGCTTATTCTAGTTCTAGAATTACCCTCATCTCCAAAGACTAGGCTCCACAACTTGGATAAGGGATTGTCCGGGCTCTACATACTTCTCAGTACAATCCCAGTAAGTATCCCGGACAAATCTCTGGTCAACTGCGGTGACAGACGGTGACGGACACTCTCAAGACACTCTTCTACGATATATTAAGTTTCCTCCAGCTTGGCGGAACTTCTACGGCTGTTATGTCCAAAGTATACCCTGTCCGGATAAATCTGCTTTGATACATAATTCTGGGGTTTCTTCGGTCAACTCTGGTCAACTGTTATTTCGTCAATCCACATCAGACTCTTCTTCAATAGAGTTTTATTATAAGGATCTGGAGTCGTCATTTTGCCCTGCGGCTACATACTAAATGGTATCATCTCCGGCGAATCGTTCTCGATTCTTGCTCTTTATAAAGAAGAATCATTCACCTGCACTCTGAAAAAGATATTTCGTTTTCCTCAACTAGCAAAGAGCTATGCGTCTCTTCTCCACGGTTATCGCTGCAATCTGCTTTACTATTCTAGATCTATCGTCCGCTCAAACCATATCAGGGCAGTTCGACTGCCTTTCTGCAGGGGAATATACTCTATGCCAAAACCTATGGGGTGAACGTTAGTGAAGCCGTTTGAATCATCTCTTTGCGATGTCCTTGAATTTTAACATGATCATCTTTCAGTTGAGGGGGTAGGGAGCCAGTCGTCTACTTTGAATGGCAACGCTGGAAATTCAGTATCCTGGACCACGACCTGGAATTGGGCTAACAACCCCAACGACGTCAAAAGCTGTATGCTGGCAGTATCTTAAAACTATTATCAACGACTGACTATAGATTGACTTCACATTCTACTTCAGACGCCAACATCATGTCCAATACTGCGCTGGGTGTTCAAGTACGTGTGTCTCCTTCTCTATTCTTTTTTTTTTTTTTTTTGCGAAAATCTTACTTACCTTGGGTTTGATTGACAAGCTCTCGAATATTGCATCTGCACCAACCAGTTGGAGCTGGGCGTATGAAACAGAATCGGAAGGGATTAGAGCTGATGTCTCGTAAGTTTACTTACTAGATTTTTATTTCAACAAAAGTCAATTCAGTTGAACTGTTATGTGGAACGTAGGTATGATATGTGGTTCGGAGTGGCACAGTCTGGTGGCCCTGCCACAACTGCATCTTCCTATGAAATGTACGTTTTGTCTTACTTCTGTTTTCGAGTAGTTGCTGAGTGCAAAATTATTTAGCATGATCTGGCTCTCTGGTCTTGGAGGGTGAGCACTCGGGCCTACACTATATTTGCAGCTGCACTGGCTGACCTAGTGGGACATCTCACGCTACTACAGTATCCAGCCTGTCGGCTCCGTCATTAAATCAAACATCACCATCGCAGGATATCAATGGAATCTCTGGAATGGACCTAATCAAAACTGGGAAGTTTTCTCCTTTGAAACCGCCAATGGCGATATCACGATTTCAATGTTGATCTCAATGAGTTTTTCAGTGAGTAGCTAATTGATCTCATTCCTTGGAAAGTTGTATTCTTAACTGAATAATTCTATTAAGCCTATTTGACGGAAAATGAAAACGTTTCTCCTTCCCAAGTAAGTTCCAAGTGCTATGGCTGAATTTTGAACGTCGATGGTTGCTTATCTTGGTTTGCAGTACGTTCAAGCAATTCAGACCGGAACAGAGCCATTTACTGGGAATGCGGTGTTGGTGACCTCGAGCTACAGCGTCGCAATTAACGCACTCTGATCATGAAGAGACGACTGATTTGGGGCCATTTCGCATAAAATTTCTGACACAATTTCTTACAAGCACATTTGAATCTATTCGTTATATATCCGAGTCAACGGACTGAACTTCCATATTCTTCAAGCTCGAAAAAAGTGGTAGTAAGTATGAGGGAGCTCTGTGAAAGTTCGCCGCAAGCCAAGTCTCCTGTAGGAGATATTTGAACGCACATCAAGGTGCCAGTGAAACTAGCGATGGAGCAGTGCATGAACCCTCTTCTCTTGGTTTTAGATGTTCTGTGAAGGTGTCCGATACTGTTATTTCTGAAATAGCACAAGGACGATATAGGGCGATATAGGACTGTTTGTAACTGGTTGCTTGAAGCTGATCAGAAGTTTAATTATTGAACTTCAGCATGAGCACACATACGGTATTGCCGTTTGCTGCTACTGGCAAGTGCGGCGACTAAAAACATGGCAATTCCCATTATCAGTTGCGCACTATGGGCACATGGTGTAGTTGGCTATCATCCACTTAGCATCGCGAGTATATGCTGGACGTATAGTGTTATGCGTGGGGTGCTGGGTTTAATTCCCAGTGTGTCCAATCACTTGCCAATCACATTCGAAACAAGTATTCTTTGAATTTTTGTCAAATCAGAACAGTAGGACACCTACAGACTTGTACAGATTTATGTTATACAGATTTATGTTATGGGCACATAGTGTAGGGCTTATCGCGCTCGCTCGGTATAGGAGGCTTAGAGAACATACTCATCTATACTCACGTGGTATTGCGAGAGATCTGCGGTTGTGTCTTGCGCTTTGAAATCTAAACTTGAGATTTGGCTCTTTTTGTATGTTAGCTTATACTGTAGTAGCTATAGCTCTCAATAGATCTTTCTTTGATCTGTAAAATATCAACTTGCGTTGAGCGAGAATGGACTGCGTCAATAAGCGCCCACTTCCAATAAACGCCCATCGCTCCTTCTCCACCACGATGAACTCGTACCCACTGGAACTGCTAGCGCAGCTAGCTCCAGTGATGTTCGTCGCTGGACTGAATCCGGCGCCGCCTCCTGGACCCTCCTCGTCATCCACATTGAACGTTCCCCCGCAACCACCACCGCCAACACATCATTCTCGACATGCTTCGGTTTCTGATCCCAAGCTGGATTCTACGAGTGGGTCTGGGTTGGGGATTGGGACTGGTGCTCCTAGTAATACGGCGGCCTCTGTGTCTACCACATCTACGCAGCCTACTCGCGATCGACCCGACCCCTTCACGATTCTCACAACGCGCTTGAGAGAGATGTTGGTTAATCAGAGAAAGGTTACGGTTTGGGAAGCAGGAAAGGAAAAGGAAAAGATATTCCAAGTGGTTTTGGTGGACAAGGAGGTGCGGTTTCCGCCTCGGAAGACAGGAGATGTCGGGCACACTGCGCATTCGCCGCTTTCACCTTTAACACCAACATCCCCACTCCACCCCGACGGGCTCATCGCGCCATTATGGATCCGCAAACATACGATGCTAGTTCCATCCGTGTTCGTGTTATTTACGCGGTTGTTCGAGGGGGATTCCAGTGACTCGAGCTCGGTATCCGACGCCGACACGCACCTAGCCTCACAAATCGCCCTCCGAAAAAAACAAACAAACGAATGGGGTGTCAAGCTTACTGTCGTCCTCCTCGCCTCGCGTAAAATGCTCGACGATCCACAAATGGAACTCGATGCGCGGCTGACGTTCATCCGACGTCAATCAGGGCTGGATTCGCGTGCAGCGTTGTTCGTATTAAGTCCCATAGCGAGGGACGAGTTGAGTGAGTTTGTTAAAAGCCTACAAGCGGCTTTGTGGGATCCTGCGGTGGAGTATTACACTGCTCATTCCAAACGCGTACGGCAAAAACGGAATCGGTTGAACACTTCGTCTTCGAACGCCAATGCCAATTCGCAATTGTCTCCGACAGGCTGGACCCTCCGGTACGAATACAAAATGGCTTGTTTCGCAGAATTTAGAGGCGAGAATGAGGTTGCGCTGAAACATTATCAGGATGCGTATGCTGCGTTGATGAAGTATTTTTTGGCTTCTGCATCGGCGGCTACTACGACAATCACTTCTACTACTTCTACTCCTACGGGAACTGGGTTAGCGGGAGCAACGTCAACCTCCCTCAGGCCTCGGCAGCAGCCTCATCCCCCGCACAAAACGCTGGGCCGAAGCACGCGTCCTCGCAGACACCATCTCCATAAAAATCACCAAATTGTATTTCTACAATAACGAGACGGCGTTGGGGATGGCGCAGCATAGGTTGCATGTTGGCACGTTTCCTACTGTTGCTGGGTTGACCGCCCCTTCGAGTGCCAGTGCAGGTAAAACTGGGATTAGGACTGGGTATGGTTACGAATATTGGAGCTGGGTAGGAAGGATGTGGAGTGTTCTTGGTGAGCTCGCTGTCGAAGGAACCAGTCATGGATTGGTTATACCTATCCATCGACCGCGACTACCCACTACGGGAACTAGTACGGGTGCTGCAGCCCCGAGGCCAAGGACAGCCTATCCCCGCTATGCAGGCTATGGGTATCACTGTCGGCGGAGGCGTGGGGAGCATAGGCGCTATGGGAGGGCTCAATCCAACTCATGCACTAATGCACCCGGGATGGTACTACCTCCTTGCGGCCGAGTGTGCGGAGAGGAAGGTTGGGAGGTTTGTGGAGACGGCAGGGGGTATGACGATGGAACAGAGAACGGCGAATGTTAGAGCTATGGTTGGGGACGTATTGGAGGTGAGTAACTGAGTCGATGGAGATATTTGTTTTTCGTTTATACTAATACTATAACTTACATTCCTTCTTCATTTAGCTCTACACAAAATCATACGAACTATTCAAGGCGTACGCCTCCTCAACCTCAACGTCTTCTTCCTTAACATCCACGTCCACATCGAATCCACCCACTTTGCAATCGACTTTGACTTACTCTACTTCCGGCTCGGGTGCTACTACTACTACTGGCAATGGCGGTGGTAATGGTGGTGCTGGTGCAGCGAGTAACCGTCTCCCATTATACATCGCACACCGTATAGCCCTTACTTATGCGCAGTTTCCCGATCCTACGACTACGACTACGACGGAGGGAGGAGATTCGGATTCCACAACGCGCACAATGACAGAGGACTCAAACCTGGAACTTGACCAATTCGAACAAGAGTGGATGGACTCGGATTCGGAAACCTTAGAATTCAAAAACAAAGACCCCGAAAAACTCCTTCTGGCTGCAAAGTTCCTCGAGAGGATTGTTAGTGCGAATACGGGGACGGGGGCGGGGGGATGGTGGTCTACTTGGTCTTTGTCTTCGCATAACTCTGCTTTTGATAACGATAATAATAATAACGATAACGTGGACGGGGAACGAGAACGGGATGGCGATGGCGATGGACTAGACTGGGAGCGATGGCAATGGCAAGAAGACCAAGGCGGCTGGCCACTCCTGCTCATCCCTCTCCTTCGTACTTGGTCCCGGATTTTGAAGGCGTTGATTGGGGGGGAGGTGCGGAACTACCGGTCAAAACGTACGCCTGAAGGGGAGAAGGAGCTGGATTCCCCCCGCCTGCGCCTGCGCGCACATGTAGAATCGTACACCCGCGTGTTGGTGCTTAGGCTTGGTGTTGACCGCGACCCACGCGATTCCGTTAGGGGGAAGGGGAAGGGACAGCTACACCTGCAAGACGAGTTGAATCGTGCCATTAGGCTATGGACTCGTGTCAGTGTAACGGAATCGGAATCTGTTTCTGTTTTACGAATAAACCCAGCCCAAACCTCCCAAGCCCAAGATGGCCCACACACCGAAGCTACCCCGCCCCAGCCCCAGCCGATATTCGATACGTCGGCTGTGTTTTGGAGTGCGAGGATATGGGTTGGGGAGGGGGAAGAAGGAGGATTTGGGGGAGGAGGGCCTGGTGCTGGTGCTACGAGCGAAACAGGATTTACGGGAATGGGAACTCCCTTCCAACTAACCCTCACCGCCCCTACGCGCGTCAAGATCGATAGTCTGGACTGGGGGGAGGTGAGGGCTGGGGTGGAGTTTGAGTTTGAGGGGTGGGAGGGGCGGGAGGGGGAAGCTACTATGCAGGAAGAGCAAGAGCAAGAGGAAGGTATTGATGGTGACGAGTTTGACGAAGACCAAGACAAAAAGGTCGAGGTCGATGTCGAGGAAGAAGGACAAGACTCAGGGCCTTCTTCTGAGGGTACGGCTACGGATGAAAATAATCAAGGACAGGGACACGGGCAGGGGCAGGGAGGGAGAGTGAAAATGAAGAAAAAAAGAGAATGGGAGATTATCATTCGACATGTACATTCGTCTCTTACTCAGACGGGGGAGGAGTCCGAGTCCGAGGAGGATGAGTATGCCGTCCGAACGATCGATGTGGGGTATTTGGATTTCGGTGCTGCATTTACCAAGACCTCGGGTAAAGCCAGCAGAGCAAGCAAACTAATCCAACTCTCCACACCTCTCCGGTGGAGGATCGGACAGACGGTGCTTATACGTGGTTTGGTCGGTGTTAGTGGGGGTGGGGGTGATGTCATTGGGGTTGGAGAGGGACGGATAAAGGTACTGTTACTGTTTAGATTGGATCGTTTTATATACGCTAATTAGCGCGATAGATATCCTCTCTGGTACTTGGACTGCATCCTTTCCCTTCCTCCTCCCCTACCCCTCCCGGAGCAGTAATAGAAATCCCACTATCCGTGCCTGCTAAACGGGGTGCTATACCCCCTCTTCCTTCGTCTTCGTCTTTGCTTGGTGTGGATGCTATGACTCGGAGTGCGGGTATGGGTTTGGGTGCAAGAGCACGGTGGTTCGTTGGGTTCGTTGAGGATGATGATGATACCAATACCAGTGCGATGGGAAAAGGAAAAGGGAAAAGGAGAGTACCGAAGTGGGTTCCTGTACCGGCGTCTGCGTCTGGATCGGCGAGTGATAGAGGGTTTGGTGGGAGAGGGGAGAGTGCAAGTGGAAGTGGAAGGAGTGGCTATGATTATGTCGAGTGAGTTTGAGATTCTTTTTTCTTGTCTCGCCTTGTCTACGGAATACTGTTTGACTGACTGAGTTTTTGCTCTATGCTTTCTCCCTTCCCTCAACAGCATCCAACGCCGCCCGCACCCCGTCACCGTCCTCGTTCGTCATTCGGGGCCAGCGTATGTCGGGGAGGAGTATCCCGTGGAGGTTGTTGTGAGGGGGTGCGAGTGTAGGACGGAGAATCAGAATCATGGCGATGACCAGGAGGAAGAGGAAGAGGAAGTCGATGTAATCATGGACTTATTATTACAGCCTGTCGAGACGGATATAACTGCTGGTAAGTTCAAATTGTCATTTACTCTAACTTAAATTTTTTCATGAATGCTTTTTTGAATCTAATCCACCTAGTAAACACCATCTCCATCGGCTCACATCAAAGTAATACGATGATCAGAGGGATACCACTTGGTTCACTTGTGTTGCATCCGCGTTTTTCTTCAACGCGTTCGACCTCAGGACGAAATTCGGAAATCACGCAAACGCTGTTGATCACGAATACTGGCGGAGCTGGAGAGAGGGTGGTCGATATG